AGTTTTCAATAATATAAAAATTAATATTTTTAGAAATAAATTTAATTTTAAACTGATACACTTGGATGGTGCTTTTACTTCAGTTTTTAATTAATCGCCTTACTATCGAATTATTGTAGCCAGATTTTCCGCTTAGTAAAAGAATTTCATCAGAGCAAATTCTATATAAGTACGTCTAAGAAAATCATCAAAATAAAAACAGAATAACGTTCTCAAATTCGGGATGGAAACATTTCATTATCAAAAAATAACTGTGAAATCATTAGCCAAACTATAACTGTTTACTTTATTTTTGAAATATCGGGTTAATAAATTAAATGAAATATAATAAAATATTGCAAGATTCCAAATAGCACAAAAAAAAATTAATTCAATTATCTTTTGGTCCGGTCAAAAAGACTAAAACTTAGTTTTAGAAATCACCTTCCCTCATTTGGTTCACCATCAGGTTATTATCAGTCTTATAAAAGATATTGTCTGGCCTTTTGCATAGAGAATTTTTTTTCTGAATAATGCTTGGCATTCGGGATTGATGACCATGGTCTCTTTCGGTGAGAACACCGTTGGTGTGGTTTATCTGACGTATTAGCAACTACTGTGGTTGTCATTCTGGAAATAGCTGACGAAATATCGATAAGCTGCTCCATTGGTGTTCCCACCGAGGTTCCGGGTCAGTCCCAGTTTTTCTGTGGTTTCCTTGGATCACGTAGGCAAATGCTGGGGAAATCTTTCATTATCTTCTGTCTTCATTTCGTCCGTCTCATCTTTCTCACCCGAACCACCAGCCACTCATTCCCATGATTTCTGAAAGAATGCTGAAGGGGACCTTTTGCCCTACCTTCCGGTCCGGAGGGACTGCCCGCTCACCAGCGTTAGTGGCTGGTGGAAATAAAACACACAAACGTTTTTTTTTAGTGTAAACAAAAGAATCAGTTCATGAACATCAAGCCCGAATGCAAATATAACGCCGGCCATGAAAGTCTTAACTCTTTTTATCTGCATTCTATGCAAGAAATTGTAAAAACGTCATAAACTTGAAAATGGAAAAGTTATTGTACAAAATCTCTGAGGTGGTGATTTCCTGACAAAAATATGTTACACTTTTTCTGCAGATCATTTTACAATGAATAATGATCTATACTAAAGCAATGTATATGATTTATGATTACTTATACTTGTATTTTTATTTAGTTGTTTGCGATAAACCCTTTGAAGAATACAAATGTGGAAGTGCTTGTCAGACAACATGTGCAAACCTTGGTAAACCTTGTCCCATCGTAAACGTTAAGTGCACTGATGCTTGCTACTGTGTCAATGGTTATGCAAGAAATACTAAAGGGGTTTGCATTCCCCAATCGCAATGTAAAAAAGAAAACGTGAAAATATAAGATACAACCACTCAACCTCTTCAAACGGACTAAGTTTAATTTTTATTTGTTGTCAAATCCATATATTAGTAGAAATATACATGTATAATAGAAATTTAATGTGTAATAAATATGTAGTTTTATTTAATTTATTTTCAAACTTAACAGCAAATATAATTAGGGTGAACGTATATGTATAACCAGCTTGGTATGCTGTATATTGAATAATATATGCACGCTCCAACTTATTTACCTGTGATAAGGCAATGGGAAAAATAGAATAATACCCGTCGTATGTTCCTGATTTACACAAAATTTCTCAATTGTGGTATTAGATGTACATAATATAATTAAATACATTTGCAGTAGTTTAGCTATGCGACTGTAATCCGGTGAAATAGATATAGTAAAGGGGGTGGGTGTTACAGTTCTAAACGACTTAAATTAATTATATGCAATTACAGTTTGTATTTACAGTTCCTAATACGTAAATAAACCAAAAAGAGACACCCTAATTACTACAAAAGCTCTGTCTGCTGAAGACTCATGTGGACATTGTTATAAAGCGAGACTGTCTCGCAGTGAATAGGCTTTGTGGTAACTAGGGTGCTTCTTTTTGGTTTAGTTAACCCCTCACCACAGTCTCCAATTTCTACTCCTACTGTGTAATGTTGGTGCATAATTGCATGCGTTATTGCGAAAACTCGTAGGCTATCAACATTTTCTTCAACTGTTTTCACGTAATTACTGACACTNGGCTGAAACTATAGCTACAAGCTATCCAAGGATGGTACTATAGAATGTCACCTCAAGGTAGGCCTAGTGGCGTCATCTCTTGGTTAGGCCGGAAACTTATCAATCCACCCTCGTATATGCACGCTCCAACTTATTTACCTGTGATAAGGCAATGGGAAAAATAGAATAATACCCGTCGTATGTTCCTGATTTACACAAAATTTCTCAATTGTGGTATTAGATGTACATAATATAATTAAATACATTTGCAGTAGTTTAGCTATGCGACTGTAATCCGGTGAAATAGATATAGTAAAGGGGGTGGGTGTTACAGTTCTAAACGACTTAAATTAATTATATGCAATTACAGTTTGTATTTACAGTTCCTAATACGTAAATAAACCAAAAAGAGACACCCTAATTACTACAAAAGCTCTGTCTGCTGAAGACTCATGTGGACATTGTTATAAAGCGAGACTGTCTCGCAGTGAATAGGCTTTGTGGTAACTAGGGTGCTTCTTTTTGGTTTAGTTAACCCCTCACCACAGTCTCCAATTTCTACTCCTACTGTGTAATGTTGGTGCATAATTGCATGCGTTATTGCGAAAACTCGTAGGCTATCAACATTTTCTTCAACTGTTTTCACGTAATTACTGACACTTTTACACTTCATTACCATACAATAAATAACAATACAGAATTAGGATAACAACACAGAGAAACAAATAGCAGACAGAAAGATTCACATTGTCATTTTTTTGTTTTTATGGAAAAGAAGTTCTTCTAGAACCGTTTTATCAGGCCTTCTTTAGTGGAAATTGTCACCGCTATAGTTCCTACAACAAAGAAATCGTTTCTGTGCTTGGGATCAATTAATATAGAAACTCAAAAAATATTGTTAATAGTGTAATTTGGAACATGGCTCATTTGGAGCGGTGTATGGAGTAATAGACGTATGATAAAAATGCCGTCGATAAAAAAAAATAAAAATTAGAAAGCACTAGAAAGAGTAGGAATTCAAAGAGCGCTATGAAAGTCAATTACAAAAAGGACAGATCGAAAGTCAGGGCACATGAAGATTTAGTAATTAGTCGTAGTTACTATTAGAAGCAAAAATAGAATGTTTTATATTAGATTACTGTTTGTAAATAGTTAGGGGCGCGAGATGTTCTAGTTTTAAGGGTTGACTAAGGACAGTAACAAGTGTAGGCGCTTTTGTTTAGCCAGTCTACGGATTGCAATCCTATGTCGGTATGGTTATTTACCTAAAAGAACCGTATACAAAGACTACTCTGTTATGAGAGTTTTACATATGTCAATCGTTAATCCTCTTTATACATATTATTAGTGGAATTGGTAGAGGCGGATTATCCATGAGGCAAACTAGGCACGTGTCAAAAGCGCAAGGTTACAGAGGGGCGCGCGTGAAATTTTTGAAAAATAACAAAAAAATAATTGCGTCAGGAAGTACCTATGCAGTTCTTGATTATTCCTATCTCCTGAACTATGCCTATACCATAGTATAAAACAAAATAATTTCCCGCTTTCTGTCTCTAAGTACGCTGAGATCTTCTAATCTACTTATGCGACTGATTCTGATGCTGTTTTCACTATTATTCAAATAATTTCTTCCGGGTGGTACCTGTACCTAGGGTGTCTCACAGCAGAGTTAGGCTTTTCAAATTAAATTAAAAAAAAGTCGTTCATTTTAGGAAATAATGTGAATTTCATTATTGGAAAATTACATCTTCTGAATGTCCTCCACCTCGTTGCATGCATTCATGAAATCTGTCCATGGTATTTTGTATAACACGTAGGAGCATAGCAGGCTCAATTTCGCTTTCGCTTTTAACCCGGCGATATTCCTCGGAATATTAATGTAAATCTTGTTCTTAAGATACCCCGACAGGAAAAAGCCCATGAGGGTTAAATCGGGTGATCGCGAAGGTCATGTATCACCAAAGCGGGCATCAACTTTAGAGGAAACAGCTCACGAAGTTGGTCCACAGCTCTTGCAGTGGCTCCGTCCTGCTGAAACCACGTCCGTAACCCTGTAGCAGAATTTTCCCTAAGACGAGGTACAAAATAACTGGATACCATTTGTCGATATGCAAATGCTGTTGTTGCACTTCTCGAATTTAAAATACGGCCCGAGTATTGGATCACAGAGCACACCACACTGTCGCTTTTGGGCTATGCAGTGGTGTTTGTTGTTTTTACCTGGAATGGATAGGTGACCAGAAGCGACAATTCTGTTTACTTATTCACATATCCATTCAGATGGAAATTATCTACCCTATCTGGATTTTATAGGGATGAAATTTCAGATCACGCTTCAAAATTCACTCTACGTATTGATAGCCGAGGATTGCGACGAACGCTAGTTGCAACTTTGTTTCTTCAGTTCTTGATGTTCTCCTCGGGCTCGGACGTGGCTTGGGAGAAACCTTAGTTCGAAACTTCTGGACCCATTTACGAATCAAATTTCCATTTGGTCCATCTCGTAAACGTTTAGTATTGTAGTGTATGGGAACAAAACTGCCGCCGAGCCTAACGTACGATTCTTCTCCATTGAGAAAGGCTTCGATAGTGTAAGCACTACGAGCAGCCGACCAATTCGACATCGGAATTGGCAAATTAGCATGAAGGTGAATATACTGCACCCCTTGCTCCATACTCAATCCAAAAAAAAAATATTAAAATTCTAATTCTGCCGTGAGACACCCTATATAATACATGCATTTTCTGTTTTCAGAAAGCATAAAAAGTTCAATGTTTCTTAAAACCATAGAATTTTAGGCGCTTTATTCGCTAATTTTAGTTGGGAAAATAAAGAACAGCAGTTGGTTATTCGGTTACGCCCCCCCCCCTCCAAACAGAATACTTCGCTAGGGGCCTGATTATCATCAATGTATACTACTTACTACGAGTACTAGTTATAATTTTAAATCTGGTCGCCGCCAGAGGGGCGCCTATGACGTGTTTGCCTAGGACGCTCTCGACGTTTAATCCGCCTGTGGGGATTGGGATTATTAAATTATTACGACACGGTGCTAGAAGTCACTTTACGAGTTATTAAATATCGAGTTATTATGTGTTTTACTAACATTAAGATTATCGTGGGTTAACAGCCCTCAAATTGGATATAGTAGTGGACATCAATTTTCGTGGTCCCATATTGGATATCATTTCTTCTTTCCCGTTCGTTTTATAAATGACGTGGTTGCCCAATAAATTTGAATTTAACATTGGAATCAAAATATTCGTTTATGCGAGTTGAGGCCATCAGAAGGGCAGTAAATGCGCTCGAAAGACGTAAAAAAAATTAATTTGCAGGACGAGTCCATTTTATTGGGTAGTTGAAACGGTCATAAACTAAAATTGAGAACATTTTGTCGCCGACCAAATGGCTCTTCTACTACGTAAACATAAACTACACCTGAAATAAACTGAAACGACGGGGCATAGGTGACCGTGTATGCACGCGGGTAGGTATTACTCCCCCGGCTTTGAAACAGTTTATTAAACCCCAGTCGTTGGATGACGCGACGCTATGCGACGAGACACGACCTGCAGCTTTGACGGCTCGCGATTTACTTACATACACCGATCGTAAATTAAATTGTTGCTAAACCGTTGCTTATTTTTATAGCCCTTCGATACTGCTACAACAGAAACATTAAATTTCAAAACACTCTTCTGGACACATTACACGGCTACATTGTCAATTACTTGCCGTATCCCGCGGGATTCCTTTTCATTAAATCAATAAGAGCTTTGAATGAAATTCTATCTAGTAATATTTCATGAATTGAAAATTGAAGTTGAAGTGCAATTTTCAGCTCTTATCCACGGAAAACTGAAAGATTGAACAACATATAAAAATCCATATAGTAGAAAATTACTATATTATGAAGTGGTATTTAAATGTAGTTATTAAAATTAATTAATATTCTTTCGTCTATTTAAAATAATGCACTTTTACTTAATCTAACGTAATTACGATACCACTTCTATCAAATGGATTTTTGTTTGTTTTTCAATCTTTCAGTTACCCGTGGATAAAAGCTTGAAAATTGCACTTCAACTTCAATTTTTGATTCATGAAATATTACTGGATTAAGTTACTTCATTATTTTTGAATTTATTAAAAATGGAGACGCCTTTTTATCTTAGGACGAAACGTTGATGGTAGATCGATCATCATCATCATTATCATCATAAGGTCATCGATCTTAAGACTGGTTGGATATCTCCACTTTTTCTAATTCTGAGTTAATCTTCGGATTATCATAAAACTAGAACA